GAGAAGACCGGAAAATAAATAAATTCCTCATCTTTTCATGATCATCAATATAAAAGGATACAAGAAATACAGACTTACTATAATAATTTAGGATTGTGCCAAGACAAATTTCACAGTCACCAAAAGTAGCAACTCTTAAATAATAATTCAATTCATTTCTGGTTGAGATCGTGACTCGAATTTTTCATTCCAGAAGAATTGATCGAAACCTAAAATTGGTCTATTTTAAGAATGGGACGTCAGTGTCTGAGAGAGAAGGGATCGATTCTACTGTTTGCGCTATTTGGACACAGAAACGGAACCGTAATGCACTTAGCAGCAGCATTTATGTGCGGACGTGTTTGCTTCTGACAAAATTTCTCATCGGCAGGAAATCGGAACAGAAGGATGGGTCAACATAGTAACAAATACGTGTACCCGAGTTATGTTAATAGAAAAATCAGCGATCTAGCCATGACTGATTATCGTCTGGGATACACGAGAAACGTCCGTCGACGTCAATTAATCGGATTAGGGGCCAGAGACCGTAAAACCGAGGTAGCTGAAATCGAAACGTGGAAACCGGAAGAACGGAGGGCCTGCGGAACGGCATGGCGCAGGAACGGTTTATCGTTCCAGACGCGGGATTTATTCCCGCAACGGTTGTTCAGTGGTGAAATCCACGGACAGCTGGATTTGTTGGCCGCGGATAAATCTCGCGAGCTGAGGTCTCTCTCTCCCGGTAAACGCGACCTCCCGTCGAGAGAGAAAACCAAAATGCCTGATCTTCCGTTACCGCGAAATTATTCAGGAAAATGGAAAGGAAAAAGGAAAGGAAATGATACAGGAAATTAACTAATGATCGCAATTAATATTTAGAAGGCTTGTGAGAGCCAAAAATCTTTCGAGCACAGAGTAAATGGAAGGAGCTTAAGGAAAAGTTTCGTGAAAGTCTGAATGGGAAACGCAGTTGGCGATGCGAGAACGGTTGAAAAGGGATCGATGAATCATGACGTTTTCCCAATGCGATGCCCGCCCGGTGTACCGGCATCCGCACTGAGAGATTACACGCGCCTATACGTACACAGTAGCGAGGAGGGCATGAAATATTTCTCTAGACTGGCGGAGATGTTTAAGACACCCGACAGATATTACGAAACCTGAAAGCCGCTAAGTGCAAGCGATCAATTATGCCGGGACGCTGACAGATCCCTTAGCCTAAATT